ACACACACACACACACACACACACACACACACACACACACACACACAAAATTAGGAACCCCTAGATTAAGGCAAACAAATTAGCAGTAAGGGTTAGAGTGGGGGTGGAAGAATGGCTAGTGGGGAGATACTGGCTCTCTCAAAGCTTTAGAACAGTGCTGTACCAGTAGACAAGGTACCATGGGAAAGAGCCCCTAGGTGAAAGGGAGGATGGGAGGGTTTCTTGGCCTTACCTGGAGACGACTTGAACTTCGTTGTGCTAGTACCTTAAGGCATCTTCCCCCTCTGACACTCTAACTCTTAGTTTATGAATGACCTGGCATCCTCAGTAATCCAGGAACAACCTCTAAATTGTGTGTAACTTTAGTTAGTTTGGGGGTTACTGCCCCATGCTTGCTGCTGTTCTCCCATAGTTTGAGAGAAGGAGAGTCATCTGTATTTCCCTGGGAGTTTTGGGGAGCCTAAATGTAGAGGAAACTTGGTTTTTAGTTCAGCTTGAAACCACTTCTCCATCCAAAGCAGATAACGTGGGTTCTTCTAAGTTGATGACCTGGGGCTTAGACCTGAAAAACTTCCCTGATACTTCTCTATTCTCCACAACTTTTCATCCTCAAGTCAATAAGCATTTATTAAGTGATTACTATGTGCTGGGCCTTGTGCTAAGCTCTGGGAATACAAGCAAATTTATTTACAAGCAAAAAGAAAGATGGTTTCTGCCTTCAAGGAGCTTATGTTCTAATGGGGAAAAGACAACATATTAAAAAATGGAGCTTTCCATAAACTCTTCTTACAGCATCAATCCGTAGGAGTTCTGTGTAACCCAGCCAGGTTAAGAACCCCTGTTCTAAAGGCCAAGCAGCAAGGATGTCAAGGCCTAAGAGTCTTTAAGATGTGTTAGTAGGTTATTATGGCAGTCCCCAGAAGCCTGGAGGCTATATTAGTTGCAGGGCAGAGAGTGAAGCGGTCTTCCATTTGTAGTGGGTAACTTCCAACTCATTCCAGCAGTGTGAGCAGCCGTGATGCTTCAGTGGGATCTGGGACAGGTAGGTGGAGGGTAGGTGAAGGAAGCTAGGGAAGAAGAAGGGAAACCTTCACTGGTGGCTCTTTCCTTAAAACTTGTTATTGCATCCAACTCTTTGTGATCCCGTGGACCATAGCATGCCCATGGGGTTTTCCTGGCAAAGACAGTGGAGTGGTTTGCCATTTCCTTCTGTAGTGGATTAAGGCAAACAGAGATTAAGTGACTTGCCCAGGGTCACACAGCTAGTAAATGTCATATTTGAACTCAGGTCTTCCTGACTGAATGAAAGGTCTTGCCCAGTACTCTATCCACTGAGCCATCTATAAGGTCTTCTAATTCCTTAATGAAATGCTATCTCTACTTCTGCCCCATCCAGATAGTCCTGTCTGTACAATGTGAACATTAGACTTCCTACTTTTTCCACCCCAAATCCTATTTGAGTAGTTTATGTTTTCAAATATATTTTAAATATATTTATATAATATATTATAAATATATAAATTTCTATAATATGTTTATATCTAAATATATAAATAAATATATATTATTTTATTTGATATATTGTGTTTTCAAATATATTTGTCTTTTTTAAGTTGTGAGCTCCTTTGGGATTAGACTGGCCAAAGTGAGAGGATCACTCATCAGCTGCTGTTCTAATGTGTCTTTCAGGAGTGTGGGGCCGACTGTGCCAAATTTCAGAAGAGTGAGCTGGAACACAAATTCAACCGTCGGGCTTTGGAGCGACCCTACACTTCTAAACACTCCTGGGGGAAAACCTACGGAGAGCATAAGCGCTACCTTGAATTCAGCCATGACCAATATAGAGAGTTACAGAAATATGCTGAGGAAATAGGGATTTTCTTCACTGCTTCTGGAATGGATGAGGTGAGACCTTTCCTCCTTTCCTCATCCATCACTTTCATGTGGTAAAGGGGACAGCAGGAAATCTAGCGTCTTTCCCTATAGATCCAGATCCTAAATCTTTTTTTTCCCCAGTTTGAGCATACCTTAGTAACAGGTCAAGGAAATATGTGGAGATAGCAGCTGTTGGAGGTGGTGAAGGGTGGGTCGGGCAGGAACAAGTATCTATTCATTTGCCATGTAGACACTGGACCCTATCCAAAATGCTCTCTGCTAACTGGAAGTCATTGAGGGCCGACTCTGGATGCTGGGAGCCAGTAAACCAGACTTCTAAGAATTATAGCACCTCTTATGAGGTGGGAGTGACATTGATAACATCCAGAAGGAATTGGCCTGTAAGCCCGATTATATAGAAGTTGGCAGCTCTGCAATGGAAGGGGTTCTGGGAGGTTTGGACTAGAGCCACATCTGCTCAAGGACACATACAAATTTGCCTCCTTGAGATTGTCTTTATTAACACTAGAAGGGCCAGGCATGTTAATAGAGGAAACAAATTTTACTGTGTAGTATAGACTGTCGGGCAATTAGGTGGTACAGGGCCTGAGCACTGGGCCTGGAGTCGGGAAGACCTGAGTTCAAATCTGGCCTCAGACACTTACTAGCTGTATGACCCTGTTTGCCTCAGTTTCCTCATCTGTAAAATGAGCCAGAAAAAGGAAATGGCAAACCACGTCAGTGTCTTTGCCAAGAAAACCCCAAATGAGGTCACCAAGAGTTGGACATGACTGAAATGACTGAACAATAACAATCATGTGTTCTAAGCCCTTGGGATTCAAAGGCAGGCAAAGTGCTCTGTTCTCAAGGAACTCAAAGTCAGATGGGGAGGCAGCATGCAAACAATCAAAAAATAGACAAATTGGAAGTAATCAACAGGGGGAAGGCATTAAGGGAGATCAGGAACGACTTTCTGTAGAAGGTGGGATTTTAGCTAGGACTTGAGGGAAGCTAGGAGGTGGAGATGAGGAGGGAGGAGCATTCCTTCCTTGAGGGACAGCCAGAGACAATGCCGGGAGTGAGGAGATGGGAGTGTCTCAATCAAGGAACAGCAAGGAGACCAGAGTCACTGCATTGCAGAGTATGTGGTGGAGAGTAAGGCATAAGAAGACTGGAAAGGTAGAGGGAAGGTTACTAGGCTATAAAAGCCTTTAAACACCGGATCAGAAGATAAATATTTCTAACATCTGAGAGGTATGAAGAGGTATTCAAGGCTTTCTTCTCATTCTGGATCCAGGAAGGGGGATGTGGGGGTGAGGGGAGGGTCTTATTCTAGGAAGCCAACAGCACATTTCAAGAGGGAATATACATTCTATTGCAAAGGTTGGCGTTTTAATGGCAATGGAATACTGCCCCAGGAATGCATATAAAGGAAAAGTTTTAAATGTGTCGGTTTACTGATGATGCCTGGGTCAGTTTCTAGGACCGCAGAATCATTGCTCTTATGTTAGAGCTAGAATGGACCTTTCCATCATCTGCTCCAGTGCCCTCATTTTACAGAGGAGAAATAGAGTCCCAGCAAAGGTTAAACCTATGGCTGAAAGTGTCCAGACTCTTAGTTCCATGCCCTTGTCTTGCCATCCTTCCTTCCTATCTATATAATAAAATAATAATAATAATAATAATAGCCAGCATTCATATAACATAGCTCTTTAAGGTTTTCAAAGTGCTTTACAAATATGATCTCACTTGATTCTTATAACTTTGGTAGGGAGATGATATTATTATCCCCATTTTACAGATGAGGAAACGGCCTGAGAGGTAACACAGGGTCACACAGTTAGGATGTGTCTGAGGTTGGATTTGAATTCAGGTGTTCCTGACTCAAGGCCCAATACTCTATCCACTGCACAACCTACTAGCCTTGGGAGCAAGGATATAAAAATTTCAGTACATAGATTGTAACCTCAAAAGAGCCAGTGTAGAGGGAATGGGTGGAGATGTGATACTGGAGCACACATCAGTTACCAAGATGAATTAAACTTTCTCTGAGCTCAGTGGCTCATTTCTGGTTGACAACCAGACACCTGACTGGTCACTTAAGCTCTGTGGCCCTTAGTTTCTTCACATGTATAGAAGGGGATTAGAAAAAATCATTGCTAAGTTGTCTTCCAGATCTAGAGTTCATTGAATCAATGAAACAGGTAGCTGTAGATCCCTGCATCTGTAAAAGAGAAGGTTCATTTTCCTATGTTTCATATGAAAGCATCTCTTTAGGTCATTCATTCTCCAGGTGCCCAATTCAGAGCACAAAAACAATTGGAGGAGGTCAGGGGAACAGAAAGTTCTCCCTGTCAGCACTGTCTAAACCCCTTTCCCCATTCCAGCACATTGCTGTTGTTGTTATTGTTCAGTTGTTTTAGTTGTGTCCAACTCTTTGCGACCCCCTTTGAAGTTTTCTTGGCAAAGATACTGGAGTGGTTTGCCATTTCCTTCTCCAACTCATTTGACAGGAAACAGGCAAACAGGGTTAAGTGACTTGCCCAGTGTCTGAGGCTGGAATGAACTAAGGTCTTCTTGGCTCCCGGCCTGGCGCTCTATCCACTGTGTCACCTAGGTATCCCCCATATTCCCATCCAAGCATAATTCTCTTTAATTTTGACCATAGTTGCAGTATTGTGTTCCGTTGTGGGCACCACAGTTTAAGGATATTGATAGTCAGAGTAGGTCCAGAGGAGGACAACAAAAATGGTGAAACATCTCGAGTTTCTTTTGTTCAAGGGTTACTTGAAGGACCTGGGAAGGGAAGACCCCGGAGGGGGGGACATGATAGTGGTCTTCAAGGCTGTCACATGGAACAGAAATTAGTCTTGTTTTTTTTGGCATCAGAGGGCAGAATCAGGGACGATGTGTAGAAGTTGCAAAAGGCAGATTTGGGCTTGGTGGCAGGAAGACTGTCCTAATAATTAGAATTGTCCAAGAGTGGTATGGGCTGCCTTGAGAGGTGGTGGGCTCCTTCTCCCTGGGGGGCTTTCGTTAGAGGGTGGATGACCACTTGCTGGGTACATTGTATGTACTGGACTAGATGGAGACTGAGGTCCTTGCCACCTCCAAATTCCCACAAAGCCTTTCTGTTTACAAATCAAGATTTAATAGAGGCAGCTAGGTGGTGCAGTGTATAGGGCACCAGCCCCGGAGTCAGGAATTCCTGAGTTCAAATTTGGCCTTAGACGCCTACTTGCTGTGTGACCCTGGGCAAGTCACTTAACCTCTGTTTGCCTCAGTCTACTACAGAAGGAAATGGCAAACCACTCCAATATCCTTGCCAAAAAAAAAACTAATGGACAGTACTGGCACACTATGGTCCATGGGGTCAGGAAAAGTCAGACGTGACTGAATGACCAAACAATAAAATTTAATTGATAATCATAATAACAGCAACAACATTTATCGTAAAGGTTTACAAAGCACTGTCTTTCCAACAACTTTGTTGCTGGTGCATGTATATCATGCCCATTGGACAGATGAGGACACTGAGGTTCAGATGAAGTCACTCACTTCCAGTCAACAGACCCTTTTCAGGCCCCTTCCGTGTACAGAATAATGTGGTAGGTGCGGGGAGAGATTCAGAATGTAGCTAAGACAAAGTCCCTGCCTTCATATAACTTACAGTCCTACAGGAAGGTAAGAACCACATAAGGTAAGGAGAATACATAATGTTACATGAAAAGTTCATTAGACAGTTGCAAACCAGAGTATTCTCCGACAGTGGTGTACAACTCAATAGGCAGGATACTGACTTAGAAAACCACATATTAACATTATCTGTGTTGTATTTTTATTAATTTTGCTAAACATTTCCCAGTTATGCTTTAATAACGTTAGAGGGGCAGGGACTTTGACACCTCTGCTCTGAGAGATGGGAATGAGTATGCTTACTGAATGGAGACCAAGGAAGTTCCCTTAGTTGTAATTAATCTCACAGCTAATAAGTGTGAGGGATATGACTCAAATCCTTAGTGCTAAATAACCAGAAATGTCCCCTAGCTGGGGTGGCTGTCACATACACTGTAAAGGGACATACCTGAACCAAGCAGAGGGATATTGGGAATCGACTGTGTTGTCATCATTACTTTATATTCAGAAAAGGCAAGATGTGGTTCGGGGACTTTTGAGGATAGCGGTGTGCTGTTAAAGTTTAATAACTGGCTTTTGGGGAGAGAAATGTACACACAATATATTTAAGTTTAATTTAAAATTAACATTTTCTCCATCACCGCCTTAAGTCTAGGCATTCAACCAAACAATAAATCAAGCCATCATTTATAGCATATATAAATATTCATGTTGAAAATTTAACTTTCTCTTCTCTGAGGGCTCAGGTTAATGCCAGCACACTTCTGGTCTCGATTTACCATGTCAGCCTGTTTTTTCTTTTCAGTACATTTTATAACTAGTCATGTTAGCATGGAAATTGGAAAAGACATTTATAAGAGCCTTTATAGAAGAATTAAGTCATGTTCAGTGGGTTGGGCGCTCTTCTGTCAATCTAGGGTTTGTGTCTGCTTGGAGTGTTTACCAAGCTCCTACTTCCTTGGCAGGCAGCAAGCAATTAATTATTGACCTTTCTCCTTCCTGCCCTCAACTGTTGTAATCTGTTTGCAAGCTGCTGTTGCCAGCATCTTCCTAATTAGGGTGATATGTAATTTTGAGTCCAAGGAAAAGCAATTTAAAAAAAAGGTATATGCTTCACTGGAAATACACGATTTTTGAGTGAAGTATTTTTGGGCTCTGGAAGATTTACTTGAACCAGCAGTTCTCAAATTTTTTGGTATCAGGACCCCTTTATACTCTGAAAATTTATTTAGGACCTTTCTTCCTTCCCCCAAAGAGGTTTTGTTCATGTGGATTATATTTATTGATATTTACTATAGTAGAAATTTAAATATTCTATATCATGATGACAGTACCCTCACACATTGCCAGGGTTAGGGGCGCAGCACACCAGTGATCAGGAAAATCTGCAGGAA